GCCGTTTTTTAAAAAGCACATTTGGGATACAGCAGAGCACCACCTCCCCATAGCATCCATTTCTCAAGCATCCAGTATTGATTTGGATGGTCTTCTGCGTATTCCAGAAAGACAGATTTAATGTACTGTCGGAAAAAATATCCATCTGGTTCAGTTCCAAGCTGGGAGAAAGACACTGGAAACATGGAGGCTGGTTGGAAAGATGGTTTAATGGAGCAGAACCATTAAGCACATGGTCCTGGTGCAGCTGACAACATGGCGTGGAGAGAGAAAGAGATTTATACCCTCTCTGGGCTTTGAATTTGAGCTTCCTGTTCCTGTGGTAAGGGCATGTATTCAATTGGTTGCTGTCAGACTCCCTTGGGGCTATGCAGGGGGCATGTTTGTCTTGAAGTCAAGTTTGGTTCAAATGTAGAGGGTGATGATGTAATGAAGGGGCTTGGTTGTGCCTTGTGGTGAGTTCTGCTGGTAGATAATCCTATTATGTCATGGAGGGTCACGTCTTAATCCCATCACCCTGGAGCAGAAGGTCTAATTGTCTTGTAAATGGGCTGGCCCAGTTCTTCTTAATGGGCACCAAATATCTGCAGGGAGCTGCTTTCTGCCTTTAAAAACATGTTTCTCCTTTTCTCATCCAGTGAAATATAATATTCTGCCTTTTTAATATTTCCTAAAACATTTCATTCTTCTAGGAGAGGGGTGGGTGCTAACTTTCTACAGTACATATACAGAATTTGTCCCTTTTCCCTTTGAAAAGCCTAGAGGGCAAGTAACATGCTCCTTACTGCTAAATAAATATGTGTAGATAAGCATTATCCCAAATTAGACCTACAGTATTTTTGAGCCTTCCCCATTATTTCTCCTCCCTTTGAAGTTTTAGATAGCTATTATCTCATATTTGGATGAAAACTTTTAAAGTACCTTGAAAATGTAAAGAAAAGAGAACTTTTTATCTCTTGAAAAGCTTATCTATATAAAGTTCCTCCTGGCCCTTCAACACAGGAAGATTTTATTTTTTTCCCCCAAAGGCTGTTTTATGAAAAAGGTTCAGTCCTTCTTTCCCATTTCATTCTGCCCTTTGATGGAGTAATGGAGCATGAAGTGCTTCCTTCTCACATACCCGTTCTTTCTGATGAGTCATAAAACAAGCCATCATTTTCACTGGAATCTCTCCAATAACTTGCTTCACAAGGACTGGATAATAATATAAGCATAATAGAGATAAGATAGATAGATGATAGATAGATATAGATGTAGATGAGAGAGAGAAAAGAGAGAGAAAAGAGAGATGATAGATAGATAGATAGATAGATAGATAGATAGATAGATAGATAGATAGA